GGGGTTTTCGAGTTTGAGCCAAGTGTGGCCGAAGATGATGTCTTCCTTGCCGATGCTGGCGACGTAGGCTTTGACAAATCAGGGTTCTCCGCTTATCTTGTAAGATAAGAGAGCTCTTTGCGTGATGAGTGCTTCTTTGTTCAGAGTTCCATCCACGTTGAAGACGGGGATGGGTCGGGGAAGGGGTTCTGTCCGAAGTCGATGTTCTCGGACAAATCTCGGGCTGATGAAGATTCCTGTTGCGCCGCTATCAATAAATGCGTGCACCTCGACATCTTTTCGTCCCATAGTAATCGGAATGTGCAGAGCACATTCATTTCGGACTACTAAAATTACACGGGACAGTGAAACAGGTACGGGCAGTGGTTGCGTCAGCTCACCCTGCCCCTTCAAAAATCCTCCATTGTGAGTTCTTCATACAGCTCCCGCTTTTCGTCAGCGGAGAGTGTCTTGATTCTGGCGCGGAAGTCGTCCTTTCCAGATCCTCCCTGGTTCGGCCTTCCACCCCCTTGTCGTGCGGCCGCTTTCTTGCGGCAATCCTTGGCGCTGTGGCCCTTGATGTGGCAGTAGAAGCACAGGTTTCCGTCCCTGTGGAGCTTTCGATCGGCCTCGTTGAGAACGGCTCCTAGTTCCCATTTCCTTCCTCCCGATGTGGAGGCGAAGGTTGATGCGACGGCAGCAGCGTCGATATCCATTGGTTCGCCATAGTCCCTGGTGTCTGTGACGACGAGAGCCCCCTGTTTGGCTGCATTGGTGTTTCGTACTTCGTCGTACCAGACCTTCATGGTGTTGGGTCGATCCCTAGCGACCCTTGTTGCGAGCGCAAAATACAGCTCCTTCGGGAGTCCTTTGACAAAGTTGGCGTGGAGAGTGTGGTAGTTGTTCTCGACGCGGTTGGTGCCATTGACCTCGGTGTCCTTGAGCTGAGCCTTCGATGCCAGCTGTTCGAAGTGGGTAACATAGTTCCCGAGGGAGAGTGCTGTCTTCCTATCCTTCTGTCATTCAGGCAGTTTCATCAGGATTTGATGTGCCTTGATTCGCGTTCCGTGCTCAGGGAACACCTCTTCTAGGGCGGCGATGAAGTCTGCCCAAGTGGAATAGACCTGGACTCCTCCTGCCGATTTCTCGTAATATGCGTCTGCCCATGTTTTCCCCAGATCCTTCCTCATCAGCGCTACGGTGAAGGCAATCTTTGCTTCATCGCTAAGTCGGGTGTTGTTGGTGGTGACGAAGTAGGAGAGGATGCATTGGATGAAGCATCTGAGGTCCTCTGCCTTCCCGCTGAAGGGTTCGGGAGCGGGGATGTCGAGGCAAAGGGGTCGGTTGGCCGTTGACTGTTGGGATTGGTATGCTGCGAGGGCGACAGCGATGCGCTGATCAATGTCTTCTTGGGTGAACGATGCCATAGGGACTTCAACCGGTGCATTGGTTGGTGCGGGTGGAGCTGGTGGTAGTTCGATGTCTGGGATCTTGATGGGGACGTACTGAACTTCAGGGAGTTCGAGTGGTTGTTCATTGATGGGTGACTGCGCGCTTTCTGCTGTTTGTATAGGTTCGACGTCGATCCGTAGGATGGTGAATATGTCTTCTGGGTGAGCGGGTGGGTGTCTTTGGTAGTAGCTAACGAGTTCTTGATGGGCGACAACCTGCGGGTTTGAACCGGTTGCACGACACCAGGTGCCTCCTCGAGGGTAGATGGGAGCCCTTTTTGTGGAGGTGATGAAGCAGTGATCTGCTCGGTCGTACTGGAGGAGCGGTGATCCTGCGAGGGCTGGTAGTCCCAAAGGAACCGGGTTGACTGCATTGTTCGATGTAATGGTGGATGAGATGTTCGACTAGGTAAAACTAGGAACATAGCTTAGAAAGTTCGACCTTTTGATACAACGGTCTATACTCCTATACTGATGCCTGACTCGTAGACAACGAGCGAGGGCTTATGGACAGTGCGTCGTCCTGAAGATCGAGCAAGGAAGTCGAGAATGACCACTACCCCAAGCGAAGAGGAGCAGAGACTTGAATGAATAACCAGGTCAAACTTAGGGTTCAACCGACTAATGGTACAACTACTTATACAAGTACTGTCTACACACAAACCACTGTATCTGTGTGGTTGTGTTAGTAAAGAAAGAAATGTAGTGGTACGATACCCGGTACAAAGTGCGCATGGACCCCATTATGTAAGCTACATAATGTTCAACCTGCAGGTGAGCACTAAGACAGGCGCCAGTATGGGCGCTAGTAGTACAAGGAATAGAACAGAAAGATAAATGTTTCAGCCTGAGCTTTCGAGCTCGTTCCTGACCACGCTGGTCAGCATGTTTCAACAGAAGAGACATATAAAGCATACCTCTGGGGCAGTGCAATGACAGCACTGATGCTCGAGAAAGAGGTGCACGCAGGACAGTGGTGCCACCGACGCGATCATTGATCTGCTATTCCGCTGATGCATCCCCTGCGGATTTGAGCGGCGATTGAAGAAACCGAACCCCGCGTCAGATAGTAGACCAGCCACCAACGAAAGCAGAGTGAAACATGTGTACATGCGCACCCCCTTGGTATCTATCGTCCTTCCCTCCATTTGACCTGGATACCGCCCGTCCACCACAAGACACGCTGCTTGCCACGCATCCCTTGCTTCACCAAAGAGTACGAAGCAGTAGGCCAGTAGCACATCAAGTTCATTGAAAGATACGTCGCGACGAGCGGGCGAGGAGAGAGTATGGGATGATTCAACGAGGAACCAGTGAGTATCTCATTGACAATCTGGCAAAGGTGCTAAATACGAGGACGAGACATAAAGCTAAAGAAATGGACATCAATGGCGAGCGTTCGACGGCCTGGGCCGCTTCTGCGGCCGTTCCTGCCCCTTCCTCCTCGCTCGCCATTTCTTCCTTGTCCGCCGTTTCCCTCTTGCTCGCTGTTCGACTCACCTGCTTGAGATCCCTAGAGCGCTCTCTTCACTCGACATGTGTCCCTCAGGTGGTGATTCAGTGCATCCGGCCTTGAGAACCACCCGCCTCAGTAGCTGCAGAATGTAGAGCACCACCTTCAGCAGCTTGGGCACTCTCGCATTGCAGTCCCTCTCCCAATGCCGTTTCATGCCTGTATCGCGCTTGAAGGTCCAGTTTCAGCCCGACTCGAGGCACTCCCAATTGCCCTTCCCCATCCTCCCGCCAGTGTATTTTCTCTTAGGCGGGATGGGCTGGTCGTCACCGTGCCCATCATGAGAACCCTGGCGCTTATAGCCGTTGTGCTTGTCAGTCGATTCTAGCGGCGTGCGCTGTTTCCCCTTGTTATTCGGCTTCGCCGACGCGATGCTGCTGGATGAGGAGACGCGTGTTTATGAGCGAGTCATGCGCTTGTCGACAGTGAGAACGATAGGTTGCGACTCTGTCCCTGTCTCAATGTCTCCATTCTCGTCGACGGGGACAGGTCCGTCCTCAGGGGAAGCCGAAGGATCCTCGTCCTGCTGAAAACAACAGGCTCGTCTGCTTTGTGGATCACTAACGATATATCATCCTCTTCTCAACTGCCCTCTTGAGGTCCTCACCATTGTCGAGAGTGTTTGCGTGTTCTATTCTGCATATAGCAGACCAGGAGTGATCCTGTAGGACAGGGAGCCTCCAATCCTGTGCCTTGAGTCGATGCTTCAGTATGCACGTCCATTGACACCCGTGCCGCTGGGGTATCCTAGGGCACCTGAGAATGTGGGCGCCCCTGTGATGGGTCCGCCAATGAGCTAGATCGAATTGGCTCTTGGCAGACAGCTTTATGTAGGTATCGCAGTAGCGACACTGCCCAAGTCTCGGATTATGGATTCTGACCATCCTATCGGTCGGGCGGAATGTACTGACCAAAGGCAAATGTCTCAGTAACACTTCTACAAGCATGGTCATCCGACGTACCAGCGCATCGTACTCGCCGTCCCAAGAATAATTCTCCTCGATTGAGCAGCTACGCGTGATTTGGTTACTTGCATTTCTTCCCAAGCTGTCGCCGAAAGCTGATTCACTCGTCCCTTCTTCCTCGGCTGAAGATCGTCGTGATGTGGCATCACTGAAGGAGGTGCCCTAGTCAAGAGGGAACTAAATTAGGTCGTATACGCAATCGCAGTGATGTCCTATATACCCAGTTGAAATCCCAATCCCAATCAATTTTTTCGAAGGAAAGCCCACGGGGAATATGTTTGTCAAGCTGGACATGATGCGCCTGACTGTGTGTCTCTGCACCACAGGCTATGTCGGGCATGACGGGAGAATCCACAAATTTCTACCTCCTGAAAGTTGTGTCTTGTACTACATGAATGGGAAAGAGGAATTCGCGGTCGGGTGGTCAGCGCCTATCGTGGCAGGTAAGTCAAGTGGCACATACGAAAGCGTGTTGATAATTCTTTTTGCGAAGTATAGTGCAAAGCGTATGCAGAACTAACGAGCTGACATGTTAGCACGAAGGGCAAGAGAAGAGAACGACAAAGTCCTTATATTGTGGGTCACTGCCGCCTTTCAAGCGCTCTCATCCATGCGCATTCGTCAGACATTGCAGTGCTTCTGCAGCACAAGGAATATGACAGGAGACTACCGATACGCATCATCGTCTAAGCGTTAATAAGGATGTCAATCGGACAGTCCAGCTTACCCTTTGAGTCTCGGACGCACTAGCAGCATAATTGACTGATTCTTTTCGTTTGTCTCATAGGGAATAATGCGGGGTTGCATTCAGCAAATTCCTGTGGTCAATGGACAAAGATCAGGGGGCGTCCCTCCTGTTACCCTCCGCCGAAGTCAGTCCTCTCGTTGCATTACCCGCACAACGTAATAGAGCGGCGGCGAAAGTGGGTCTCATCGAATGGCATCATGCATGGCGTCACCAACATTCTACTCACCCACGCCAGGCTGGTCACGCATTGATCGGTGCGTCTCAGTTTCCACGGTCATCTACGGCGGAGATCCAACTCAACGCCCCGGTCTCCTCTGACACTCCCCGGAGGCCGTTCCTCGCCCTCTATCCCGAATCTTTGTTACAACAATGTGTGCGCCTTTGTTATGGTGCTCGATTACTGGCATGCAAGACGCGGTGGTCAGCGTTGCACTAGTTAGGCACCTTGGGCGAGCCCAACCTGGCAACTGTGGCGAATTTAAGACAACGCATACGCGGTGAACCCCTCCTAGACATGCGCTCGAAATCGCGAGAAGGTCGTTGTCCTTGGTCATCCTCTGTCGCCACGGACAAGAACGTGCCCGTCTCGCCGTTAAAATCCTCGCAGGGGAAGAACATGGAGGCCAGCATACTCGGCGATATCTATATTTCGCTATACCTAAACTACACTCCTTTCTGCACTACCAAGGCTCTGCACGCCATCTACCTCTATTATGGCCTGCCTCCGTTAATACCCTACGCAAGTGTTCGTCTCCACCGACTTCGATGTATCCTGCCCAATGCTTCAGCACCGCGTACTCGTGCCGCATCTGTTGACTCTGCGTACTTCCCTTATTCTATTGATCGGTTTACGACATTTGACAATCTATCTGTCTCGCCCAATCCCTCCTCTCCGAGTGCCGAACGCGTTCATCGTCTCGCCCTCCACAATTTAAACATCCACACAAGTCCAGGACATGATCAATATGCTCGTCATATGCATCATCAAGCCCGTCAGTCTCGAAATGTTGAAGGGTCGAGCATACCCATGCCCTAGCTGTTCTCATTCTGGCAGCATTGATGCCAACGCGAAGGTAATCGATGTCCTTGATCGAAAGTTTCGCTATTCACGTACCTGCAGATCTCGTTGGCTGCGAGACCGTGGACAGACAGGCACAGTGGCAAGCCCCATCTACTCGATGGTCCGCGTACATACCTCTGCAACACTGATGTCATCCGAGAGTTCGAACTATGCTCGGTCGCTGTCCACTCACTGGCAGCCGCTATGTGCAATCATGACGCCCTTGCGTTAGATGGATCGAGCGCGTTTTGTATCTACTCGCTTACTTAACATCTGATATCAATGAACCTCCATTCTTTCTGGATATATGTTCCTTGATCACGAACGCCAATATTGAGCGCCGAGCATGAGCGAGCGAACGGCGTCTCTGAGGTGATATAGAGTGTCAGCACATAGGAGACGTAGAAAACGGAAAGGTTGAGACAAAGTTAGGTCACAAACGATCTCGAGGAGCCATTGACAGGGCGTTGTGAGGGTAATGTCTTCCAAAGATTGTCGCCGGGAGAACACACGGTAGAAGATGCATGAACCATATGTACATGCTAGCTGTAATTTAGCGCTAAGTGACTGCAATTCTGAGAACGTCAACGCAGACTTGCCTTTGAACAGAGCGATATCGGAGTCTCGATACAATCCATCATGCGTTACGGCGATGTGGCAAATAAGTAGAGGCAGCCGAGATCGTCAGAGAAGAATCACGTCGACGAACATCATACAGTAGTCGGAGTTTTCTTACATATTTCCTGGCTGTAAAGCAACGAGTAGAACGTTAGCAGCCGCGAAGGCGAGCATATGGTGTTTTGGGGAATCTGTCTGCCCGCATCATGAGTCACGGACGCGAGCATCGGCAGTTTGAGATGGAGAATTGTAAGCTTGTACATACAGGTATGCTGCGCGCATCTCTCCGCGCAAAACTGTTTGGAACGAGATAACAAAAGAGTCGGGTCAGTCTGCATGTGGGGCTAACGAGTAGAGACGTCAAGTCTACATGTTGTCTTCAAGTTGTTTGACTGGATGGGCAGCGCACCGTCGAGATCTACCTGCGAACTGGACATATAGCTGGTTCAGACAAATGGAAGGGGATGTTTACATTGCGTTCAAGTGCAGACGTTCGACGCATTACAATCTCGTAAGCATGATTGTGTAAGACCATCAGCCACTGGTATAAGCGGGGTCAAATAGCCATCTACGCATCCTTCTCGCGGCGACGGCAATATCGCTCTTATGTCTCTCATCGGTCTGTCACTCAACCCTCCTCTCTACGAAGGACACCACGAAGCGCACACAGCACGAGCTCGTCCGTCTTGAAGGAATCGCATCATGTCGCAGAGCTGATGACGGCGGGAAGGATCTACATCACAGTGAGGGGAGGACGAGATACAGCTCGATGCAGAACCAGTGAGTATTGCATATAATGCACAACGGCCACAGCTCCCAAGACATCCACGTAGACGGGACAGAAAGTCAGAAGAGGAACGGCTGCCTCTAGCCACGACGAGCACGCTTGCGACCACCGCCGCCACCTCGACCGCGTTTAGACCCTCGACCGCGTTTCGACCTCACCTCATCATCTGCGACGTACCCTTCACAAGCATTTGGGTTTCTGTGGTGCCGACGCATCGCATCGCCCCTCGCCAACAACTTGCCGCAGCCCGGGCAAGGGATGGACTGGTAGTTGGGCCTCTTCTTGCATCCCTTCCAGTGGCGGACCATAATCTCCAAGGACGATAACAGCTTGCCGCAATTGGGCGCGGGGCACTCCCAGCGTCCGTCTGGCCCAGCGGTAGCGGTGTCGCGGACGTGCCTCTCCTCTGGATCGAACCGGCCGTCCTCCTCAGCCTCCTCAATCGCGTCGCCTCCCTCTCCCTCATTCTCCTCATCTTCTTCTTCGTATGCGCCCTCTTCGTCTCGAAACCCATGCTGCCCAGGAAGGTCTTCGTCGTCGTCTGTGTCCAGCGACTTTCGCTTCTGACCTTGCGGCGCCGTCGATGGGCCTGCCGCGGACATGGATGCCTGTGCCGACGAGGAGGCCGCTGCGTTTGTCATTGAGCGAGTCATTCTCGGCTGCCAGGTAATCCATTCGGACCGCTCGATCCTTCTGCTGGAGATCACCTCACCGACTGTCGGCGGGGTGGCAGGCTCGGAGTTGTCGAGTGATTCGGTGGTGTTTGCATCGTCGACTATTCGGGGTAGGATATATGAAGGAGCGGCGGATGACGGCTCGCCGAGTGAAGTGGTATTGGTAGCATAGTCGGTGGCC